TCCATTTAAGTAAGAATTACCTCAAAAGCAAAAGCAAAGCTGTTAGATCTAAGTAAACTTGCATAAAAATGTGAGCAATTTCTGGGAAGACAGACGATGGGTGGGTGTGAGGGAGAAGATATTGGCAGACCAGAACTGAAGAGTGAGGGGCAGGCACAATTCTCTATGAGACAAGATGGTAGGGATCAACCCCATCTAGGATATGAGTTCACAGAGAAAACAAGGTCAGCATGCGAAGAACTCAAGCACTGTAAAAAAAAAAAAAGGTCACAAACTTAACAGGCAGATGAAGCAGAATGAACAGAAGAGAAAAATACAGAACTCTTTTTTTAGAAGGTGTACTATTCTCTAAGTTTAAAATTATTGGAAATGTTATGTATTTCTTAAGCTATGGGGTTAGTACAAGAGAACTCATTTTATTCTCAATCTTTTCCATAAGGTAAGTATTTAATATGCAGTTGATTTTTTAAAGTATTTAATTCCAAAAACAAAGGAAAATCAGATAGCTGGGTAGAAGCTGCCAACTAGAACAGAATTTGTGAACTTGGAGAAAAAAAAGTAATTAGTCTACAATAACATTTCTCAAACTTGACTAATACACTGATCCCCTTTACAGAGAACCCAAAAAAACCAAACTTCTGACTCTGGAGAATGTGTTCTTGGACCCCATGAACCCTAGTTTGAGAAACACTGACTTAGTTAATTAGCTCATTTTAATTTTTAAAGCATATTTCAATTGTAAATTGCCATGGCATAGTTTTTGACAGCAAAGAAAGATTTGACCTTTATAACTGGTTAAAAAAATGTAGAGTATTATCAAAGTACATATTTGAAATTTAAAATAGTTTAGAGAACTTTTTAACCCCCAGAAAATATCCACAGATCCCAGGGTACATAGACCCTTGTTTGAGTACCAAGAATTCTGGAAGAGTTGCAGTTATAAGATCAAGTTACAGTATGCCTTTTCAGGGAGAAAAAGTAGTGATCAATGATACTGAGAAATTAAAATTAAATACTTATATATGTGCACAAAGGCATATTTATATATAATACTTAATCTTTGCTAAGATGATATTATAGAATCAACTAAACAATACATCTAGGATAAAACCGATATCATACAATATGAGTCAGCTAGAACTGTTTAAAAATTTAAAAAGTAAGAGAAATAGACAATATAAGACATTAACAAGTGTGATGTTGTTAATAGAAAATAGAGGGCTGGCCAAGTGTCACGTTAGTTAAGAGTTGGCTTGGGACGCCAGCTCTGAGCAGTAGGGCCCCGGTTCGGATCCCACATGAGGGCCAGTGACACTGCCCTCAACAGCTAAGATGGTGAACAACAGCTCAACCTGGAGCTGGGTTGTCGGGAGTCGCTGGTGACGGTGTAGGCTGCAGTCCCTGCTGCAGTGGGCTGCCGTGGTACCATGAGTGGCTGGCGGCCGGCATGAGCGGCTGGCAGCCCCAAGAGCTGCCAAGAGCTGCCATAAGCGGCCGTCCAGTGGCTGGCGACTGATCTGCCTCACCCAGGAAGAGCGCAATGATCACAATACCAACATGGGCCAGTGAATCGATGTCCTCCACAACTAGACTGAAGAATAAAAAAACAGCAACTTGTCTGTTCCCCTTCCCTGATTGCCCAACGATGTTCGCCTCCCCCAATGCCCCAATAAAATCTTAAAAAAAATAAAATTAAAAAATGGAAGCAGTAGGGTATTACAAAGCATTGATGTTTACTGAACCTGATTGAATGGTCCAGATCCGAATTGCATTGTTCATTCATCATGCCCTTTTTTCTGATCACACGCCTTTGATGGAGTTTTGCTTCAGTGAAGCTCTCAGGTCCTCATACACTGCCCAGTGTGACCATCACTGGCTTGCTTTTCCCATATACCAAAGGAACCATCAGAGCCCTACCCAGGTTGGCACCATACCTCATTCACCTTCCAGAGTTCCTCTTTGACTTTCTGTTGTTTCCATTTCCTCCACATTTTTGCACTCCAAGACTGTAGAGATCCCTCACTTCCATCCCAAACTGGCTTCTCCAATTTTCCCAATAAGACAATGTTGGGCATGATGCCCTGTCAGCTTTCTGGTCCTTCTTACACTCTCTTCATGCAGTTTATTCACCAAAATTCTGACTTTCTCTTCAGTCATAGGCAGATTTTTTGGTTCCTGCTATACTCTGCACATACATTTGTTCTTCACGCTTGTCATTATTGAGCGCCCCCAGTGGCAAGCCTGTGCAAAGCCATGGTTGTTTGATGTGTTCGCAACAGTTCCAGGTTATGCCTTATACCACTTTATACTCCCAACTTCTAGCCCGCTCGGAAGAATGCCTGTCACTTAGAAGGCGTTCACTCAGTGTTTGTGAAAGCACTTAGCAGTGAGAATGCTTAGGGCATGTAGTTCAGCTGGACTTTTTGGCTAGGTTTGACTTTATTAAGTCAAGTGGAAAATTAATATGACTGTCTCTTCTTTCCTTCACTGCTTTCCTCCCTCCTCAAAATCAGAGCTCCTGAGCCTGTTTTGTTGGAGATTTGGGGGAACATTTTAAAATGTGTATGAGCATCTAGTCAAGATGGTTGAGCGGGTAAACGCTGTGCTTGCCTCCTCCCACAACCGCCTCAAAATTACAACTAAACTACAGAACAAACATCACTGAGAATTGCCTGAAGTCTAGCTGAACAGAAGTCCTTTAAATAAGGATGTACAGAGGAGCCACTGGGAGACTATTGATTGGAGCATTTCATCTAAGAGGGGCGCTGACATGGAACAGGCTGGTCCCACACCCACGTGGTGCAATTAAAAATCGGGAGGGCGGGCCGGCCGAGTGGCTCAGCTGGTTAAGAGCTCGCTTGGGAGCACCAGCTCTGAGCAGCAGGGCTGCAGTTCGGATCCCACATTGAGGGCCAGTGACGCTTGCCCTCTACGGCTGAGGTGATGAACAACAGCTCGACCTGGAGCTGGGCTACTGTGAGTCGCCGGCGACGGCGTAGGCTGCAGCAGGGCTGCAGTGGGCTGCCGTGAGCTACGTGAGTGGCTGGCAGCCAGTGTGAGCAGCTGGTAGCTGGTGTGAGCTACCGGGAGCTGCTGTGAGTGGCCGACCAATGACTGGCGACTGACTGCCTCATCCGGGAAGAGCACAATGATCATACCAACATGGGCCAGTGAAGCGACGTCCACCACAACTAGACTGAAGAACGAAACAGCAATTTGTCTACCTGTCTGTTCCCCTTCCCCAATTCCCCAACGCTGTTACCTGCCCCCCAATTCCCCAATAAAATCTTAAAAAAAAATCGGGAGGGCTATCTTGACTGTGGAGATCCCCCCTGAGAAGTGAGGTGTCCCACCCCACAACAGGCTCCCAGCCCAGGGTTCAAGCGCCGGGAAGAGAAGTCTCCTCCCCTCACAACTTTTGGCTATGAAAACCAGAGGAGAGTGTTGCTGAGTAAGTCAGGGACAGCTGGAGTCCCGGGCGTTCCTCATAAAAGGCCTGTGCAGGGACTTATTCACTGACAGACTCACTTGCTCTGAGCTCCAGTGTTAGGGTGGCATCTCGGAAAGCATCAGAGACCTACAGGGAGGAATCGAGTTGTCTGGCTTTAGGACAAGGGTTGGATAGGCTGGCAGAAGCCATTGTTTCTTTGTTCCCACCACCCAGCCTGCACATATGGGCTGCACCATATCTGAGTTTCCATTAACCTGGCTAACACTGGTTGCCCTGCCATGGTGATTCCCTGAGATTCTGCTTCACCCAACAAGTGGGCACACTCGAGCCACTTCCAGTGGCTTTCTCATATAAACAGCCTGTCTTGGCGCATGTTGCAGTCTTTAAATATCCTAAAGGTTCACAAACCCCAAACAAGTTAACATCTGGCCTCAGTATGCCCCATACTGCTTGCTGACCTGTGCACCCTTATGTTCATTGCAGCATTATTTAAAATAGCCAAGATATGGAGGCAGCCTGGGTGTCCCTGAATGAATGGATAAAGAAGTGGTAGTACATATATACAATGGAATATTACTCAGCCGTAAAAAATAAAAAGAATGAAACCTTGCCATCTACAACAATGTGAATGGACCTAGAGGGTACTGTGCTGAGTGGAGAAAGTCAGACGGAGAAAGACAAATGCCGTGTAATTTCACTTATTTGTAGAATCTAAACAAGATAAATGAACAATCAAAACAGAAACAAACTCATAGATACAAAGAACATTTTGATGGTTGCCAGGTGGGAGGGGGGTTAGGGGTTGGGTGGAAAAAGGGATTAAGAAGTACAAATTGGCAGTTACAAAATAGTCATGGGATGTAGGGTCTAGCATAAAGAATATAGTCAATAATATTGTAATAACTAGTGTCAGATGGGAACCTGATTTATCGGGGTGATCACTTTGTATGTTATATAAATGTTTAATCACTGTGTTGTACACCTGAACTAATACATTGTATAGCAACTGTAATTGAAAAATAAAAAATTATTTAAAATATAAATTAAAATAAAAAATAAAATGGGATGAGCATGAGTTTTAAAATTAGATAGCTCTGGGTTTAATTCCAATACTTGCTAGCTGTATCAGCTTGTGCAAGTTATAACCTTGCAAAGCTTTGGGTTTCTAGGCTATAAAATAGAGATAATAACAGTACGTATCTCATATGACTATTGCCATAATTAAATGAGATAATGCATGTAAATGCCTTGGCAGGCTGGTGTCTGTTTCATAACAATAACCAGAAGAAGAAAAAAGTAGCTAACGCCACAGTCAAAATGTAAGCACGTCACATTTGTTAACTTGTCCAGTCATCTAAACAACCTGTGTAGTAGGTATTTTGCAGATGAGGAAATAGCAGAGTGGGTAAGTAACTGGCTCATGGTCACAGAGCTCGTAAATGCCCTTAACAAACACTCATGCTTGCTCTTGTCAATATTTGATTTCATGGTGTAGCTCTTCATTTCCGCCATTGGCCTGTAGTGAGACACTGCTACTGTTTCCTTGTAGGTGACTACCCTGCACCAAGGGCTGTCCTCACAGGCCATGACCATGAAGTTGTGTGTGTTTCTGTCTGCGCAGAACTTGGACTTGTTATCAGTGGTGCTAAAGGTCAGAAGGCATTTCTTTCATTTTAGGTCATTGAAAATTGTACCATTCCCTCAGGTTAACCATGATTTATGATTTCCTTCCTTCTGTAGGCTCTCTATAGATAAATGTAACCCCTAGGTTCTTTGCAGCTGTTTAGTTTTATTACCAATAATTACCAGGATTCATATATTTAAATTTTTATGTAATATTGTGTGGTCACCAGCTTTCTAGCCAGAACACTGGTAAATGAAACCACAGCATGTCCCATATGATGCAGCCATTAAAACTAATATATAAAAGACAAAGGGGGTAAAAAGCCAGGGGAAGATTTCCACAGTGCAGGGAGGCCGTGGGTGACCTTGCTCATGACACAGCCTTGGATTCACCCCCTCCATGAGTAGTTCTTCTCATCATAATGCTGGGACTGTGTAGAAGTTGATGGGAAAGGAAACATAATTACTTGGGGTTTTTTGGTTTGTTTGTTTTTTTTGTTTGCTTTTACTTTTTGTGGCAGAAGTGTTTCAAGAAACATCAGGAAACTTGAGTTCTAATTCGGGCTCAGATACCAGTTCTTCATGTGAAGACTCGAGGGCAGAAAGGAGCCTGACCTTATGTAAAACTGAAAGAAAACCAAACGGGCTGAGTTTAGTGAAGATGCAACCGAGTTAAGAAGAGAAGGCTGATGAGGTGGGAGGGACCAGTGGCACAAGGATTTGTGTTTTTATTTTATTATAAATATAGTGGAAACCACTGACATTTTCTAAGCAAGGTGATGAGATGATGAGGTTTGGTTTTTAGAAGCTTGTCCTGGCTGCTTTTTGGAGAATGGATATAATATCTGAAGGTAGGGATAGTGTTTTCTACATTTTCATATCTGAGAGTAAATAACCCAGAGATGGACATAGGATATTCTTAATAAATGCCTTTTTTTTTTAGGAGGTACGAAATGAGTTTTTTATTAAAGAATTATTTGCTTCCTTCAGACAACTTAGGTGATAAAAACATGAGATAAGAACTAAACATTTGAAGAGTACACACTCGTCCTTATTCATATATTGCAAGTCTCTTCATATATTATAAGTCAATGCTAGATACTTTTCCCTAAAATAGAACTTTTTTAAAGCAAGCTATCTCCCTATGTCTCAAACCCCCACATCTCCACCCCAAAATAAATTACTGCACAGTTTTCCCACTTCTGCACTATTTAGCCCAGGTAATAATTTGTTGTGGGGGACTGTTCTGTGCATGATAGGATATTTAGCAGCAGCATGAAATGCCCCCTAGTTGCCAATAGCATCACCCCCCTCCCCTTCCAAGTTGTGACAACCATACTGTCTCCAGACATTGTCAAATATCCCCTGTTTGGGCAGTCACCCCTAGTCCTGTTGAGAACCATAGAACTACGAGATAAAGCCTATTGCCTTTAACCTGGCTTTTAAGATCCTTCATTACCTGTCTGTAATATACGCTTCCTAGAATTTGACTCAGTCTAAAAGAACCACCAATGAAGGAATCCTTACTTTAATTTCATTCATAGATTATCACCTAGTCTTTTGGAACACTTTCAGGGATGGAAAAGATTTAAAGTCTTTACTTTGCCAGGAAATTTTTGTATCTATGATGTCTTCTTCTTAAAATTCATGTATGTTGAGTCCTGTTCTCCCTCTTGGAGTTGTAAAGGAAAACTTCTAATCTTTTTTCCATTTGTGAACATTTGTGATATTAGAAATTATAGTCACATCTCTTATTTCTCAATAAATGCCTTTTTAATTAAAAAAAACTAGTAAAAAAACCAAAAAAAACACCTAGTAACTATATATGTAATGTTATTCTAACGTGTAAAATAAAAAAGAAAAAGGAAAAGACACAGTATGCACAGGGAAAATTTTTTCTATAAGTAATGAATGATATTAGAGGTGATTGCTATTTTTTTCTCTAATTTTCTGTTTTTTTCTATAATGCACATCTAAATTTAGGTATAGATGTATAACGTCACTTTTTTGTAAAATAAGTATCTACTTAAATCAATTGATTGAAAAATAGAAATGTAATTTATCTAAAGATTTTGTGAGTTTTTGGGGGGGCAAAGGGTAGGTCATACCAAACTATATTAACCAATTATTTTTATGAACTTGACTAGTAGGTTTTTTTAATCTTACACGATTTCTACCAGGGGAAAAAAACAATTGGAGCAAATAAATCACTTCCCATACTACTTTTGTACCCCTGCCTCACCATTTATTTCAAAGACAAAAAATGTTTCTATAATCTGAATTACTAGATTTTTATATTTTACCTTTTACATTTTACATGTAGACTAAAAGATTGAACTTACTATTTGATGGTAACATGTTTATGTGGTACAATGTTAAAATTTCAACAATATTAAATAAGATTAGCAATTTTTTTATGATTCTCCTAAACTTTCAAGAAAAATTTCTAAAAACACAGTAAGAAAAAACTTGTAAAACATACAGTCTTTGATTCTCACATAACCTAAGAGCCTTTTTTTATGAATACCATCTAGATAAAATTTTGAAACCTATGTGTGTGTTACTTAACAGTTCTCTGCGTGTGTTCTGTTTACATGTAACATCAGAGCTTGGCTCTTGCCAGCATACTTCAGTTTTTCCCTACCTCCTTTCAACAAATCTGAGTGTATATCCATGTACAGTTTGCATGTTTGTGAGAGTTAATGTGTGACTTGTCATCACCAGTAACGGGCCCTTCATACCCCCCCGTTCTGCAGAGGGCCCCTGCCTAGTCCATACAATCACTGGAGATTTGCTGAGAGCCCTTGAAGGACCCGAAAACTGCTTGTTCCCGCGTTTGATTTCTGTCTCCAGTGAAGGCCACTGTATCATATACTATGAACGAGGGAGATTCAGCAATTTTAGCATTAATGGGAAGCTTTTGGCTCAAATGGAGATCAATGATTCCACACGGGTGAGTCTGCATGTTCAGTGCTAACTGGAGACTGAAGCGAACAGATTAAAGATGGACTATTTTCAATTAAATGATTAATATCAGAATTTCTCTGCTGACCAATAATGTGTGCTGGTTTTAAAGGCATATAAATTCATTCGATGGCTTCTTTGAACAAACCCAAAGTTCATTTACTCCCAAGTAATTAACTCAGTGAATTATATGTACTTTGCAAAAAATAGCTGTTGTTTGATTAGAAGTTAGGCCCTTAAGATTTTCCTTAAAGTTTTTTTTTTGTTTTTTTTTTTACAAACAGTTTTTTTCAGCACTACAGTCCCAAAATTAAAAGTGAGTTTATTGTAAACAAATCTTATTTTCAGGACCCTAGACCAAAATTACATGCACCAAATTGCCCTTCACTAACCAATGAATTGTAATTGCTGCTTTATCATTATTAAGAACTGTATTGAAATATGCTTCTGCCGTTTGTTCTAAAAGTCTTGACATTGTTATTATTCAGGACTTAACAAAACATCATGTTACTTGATTCTCAAGCTCTTCCTGGATTAGATCAATAATACTCTCTTTGGGACTTCTGTTATTTTGTAACCTAAATTGGTTTTAATAAGATCCTTTGTTTATGTAAGAACTTTGATGAATTCCACATTGGAAATTCCATGGTTTGGACTCTAGAAAACTTGGACAAATGGCTAAAAGTAGATAATAAGTACAAAGGAACCATAATGAATGCTTCTCAGTAGTGACCGTTGACCATTGGGAAACACTGAGAAAAATGGTTGCTTTTCTGCCTTTTCTGAAGGCCATTCTCCTGAGCAGCGACGGCCAGAACCTGGTGACCGGAGGGGACAATGGTGTGGTAGAGGTGTGGCAGGCCTGTGACTTCAAGCAGCTGTACATTTACCCCGGATGTGATGCTGGCATTAGAGCTATGGACTTATCCCATGACCAGAGGTGAGCCACATCCAGGAAGAATGTGATCCCTTGCAAACTATGGTGGAATGTTCTTTACATTCTACCAAGGTTGAAATGTGCTGTGAATAAGATCCCAGCATCCAGATGGAAGAAAAACTACTTTAGAAAAGAGTCAATTTAGGAGAGGAGTAAGAAAGAAAGTGTTCTGGTAATAAGAAAACAGAGGAAGGCAATGTGGGGGGAAAAAAAGGAAGAAATGGGTCTGCGGAAGAACAGGCACATTCAGACAGTGCCCAAAACAGAGAATTATCTCCCCAACTTCTCTGTTCTCAGATCCTCGTCTAGCTCCAGGCAGGCCTCCCTGGCCTCCATCGTGTGAAGGAGATGTATAGTTTTCCCCAGAGCTGAGCCTCAGCGTGAGGCACACTTCCAGCAACCAATATCCAGCAAAATGCATAGTGCAGACTACTACCTATTGTAAAAGACACAAGGCACTCACTCTTCATGTGAAACAATCCCCACCCCGTTTTCCTATTCATATATTTCTCATTTATGCTATTTGCTATATTTTCCCTAAGACACTATAATATTTTCTTGGGAAGAATTGATATGAGTATTAATTAATTAATATGATTTTCCCTTGTTCCTCAGTTTGCAACAGATTTCGCCATTTCCTAAAATTCACCTTTGCATTTATCACAAAGTGAAAAAATATTTGGAATGTAAAGTCTAAAATTTCTAAATTTTAAAAATAGATTAAAACTATAATATTAATATAATATGCAACTTCTCATTTTGTGCTATACATTTAACAGGAATAAGAAAAGCTTATTAGCCAACTTTTTTCAACTATATGTATATTCTTTATAAGAATATTAGTCTTAAAATATTATGAATATTATGGCTTGTATAATAAATTTAACAAAGCATCTTTATGTAGAATGATACTGAAGTCATCAAGAAAAACAATGTAATTTAATTGAGTTTGGAGAGGGGACATGTCATCTGCAGCTCAGTCTGTTTTTAAAGAAAATTTAAGCAGATTATTATTAGAATGTTCCAGAATGCTGTAGTCTGCATTCATGAACAAATGGAATGGTTTACTGGATAATTATTTGTATATACAGGGGTGTTTTTAAAGGATTTGGAATAATTTGGGATCTTAAGTAGTTGAACTGCTCTCCCTGATATTTTTATCATGTATTCACAAATGTTTGCTATCACCATTGTAGATTAAGGTCTATGCAAAGTACTAACAATACATAACAAGATTACTGAATCTAAAGAGTTCAGATATTCATAATAATTGTATATGAAGGAACAAGGGACAGAATTGCAGAGCTGACTCTCCTCGAGGGTTGGGGAGGGCAGGGAACGCTCTCACTCGCCATGGGGAGAACAGCAGATCCCTGAACACATGCAAAGTCACAGTAGTGTCAGGGGTCTCTGGAGAGGAGTAAGGAAAGATACTAATCACATTTCTATTTCCTTATAAAACACAAAAATAATCTCGTCCTTAATTTCAGTTACTTTTATAATGCCCTGATATGCTAGAACAAAAGCACATGTACATAAAGTATAAATCGATAGATAAACATGTATTGAGGGTGCCTGTTCCGAAGCACTTATCTGATAAGGCATTCAACCAAAAGTTAAGCAACACTCAGTCTGGCAGTTCAGGTGTGTGAGGCAGTTCAGCTATTGATCCAGCTTCTCTCGGGAGAACCAAGACCACATTTTAATCCTGCCTCAGTGAACACAAAATGAAGGCTTGGTGAACTTTGAGATCATGATACTGTCTAGTGTAAGATACTGTCTAGTACAAGCACGTCAGTTATTTGTGTCACTCTTAACTCTGTCTCTGCTTTCCAGGACTCTGATCACGGGCATGGCTTCGGGTAGCATTGTAGCTTTTAATATAGATTTTAATCGGTGGCATTATGAGCATCAGAATAGATACTGAAGACAAATGAAGAACCAAAAGCCAAGTGAAAGCTGAGAGCACAAGTGCTGCATGGAAAGGCAATATCTCTGGTGGGAAAAACTCGTCTCCATCGACCTCCGTTTGTACATTCCATCACACCCAGCAATAGCTGTACATTGTAGCCAGCAGCCATTTTACTTTGTGTGTTTTTTCACGACTGAACACCAGCTGCTTCCTTAAGCAAGCTTATATCATGTAAATTATATGAATTAGGAGATGTTTTGGTAATTATTTCATATATTGTTGTTCATTGAGAAAAGGTAGTAGGATGCGTCACAAGAGACTTTTGACAATTCTGAGGAACCTTGTGTCCAGTTGTTACAAAGTTTAAGCTTTAAACCTAACCTGCATCCCATTTCCAGCCTCTTTTCAAGCTGAGAAAAAAAAAAAGGAAAAAAAAACACGTTTGATACTTTGTACATCAGATGCATCTTATTTAAAGGGATACTTTTGTAAAAGTAAAACCTTGTATAAAGAACAAAACGTTTCTTAATTTTATTGTGAAGTTACAACTTGCATGTTCTTTAATCCTGATGTCTTGATGAAACAGGTGCATTCACACTATGAAACAGAAGGATCTGTCCAAGGACACAGCTTGTATGAAAGGGTTGAATCGGTAATTTTTGACATTTTCACCAAAATATGGTTTGCACTTTTTAATCTAAATTCATCCCTCCTAAGTAATTTGCTCATAAAGCATTTGGATACTAAGCCATTATTTGCTGTTTTTGGTACTTATACAAAGAAAATTCAGCCCTACCCTTCATAATTTGAAGACACAGCAGAAAGGGGGCTTAGGGATGGGGTCCTGGTTTTTATTGTATAAATAGGAGTCCCGATCATTAGTTTCATAGCAATGACTCCCCAACTCCTGGACATTTCCTCCAGAGTCATCTGGCGTAGTGTGTGTACATTAGTGGAAGAGAATCTGATGGTGGTTTTTGTTTGTTTTGTTTTGTTTTGTTTCTCTCTTTGGTTCTTGAATAGCTTAGTTTCTTTACTAACAAGTCAGATTTTAATTATAACAATAACTGAACTTATTCTTTTAGGTTATTATGAAATTCTCACCTAAAGCCACATTCTTAGCCTAAGGCACTTCATCTTTTATGATATAAAATGATGGCTATAAATGATTTCCCATACATTGTACTGATCAAGTTATACACCCAGGGGTATATACACTTTGTTTCTTCTTTGTATATTTGGTGACTGTATCGTCATAGATGTACATATTGTGTCGGTAGGGCTTATGAGGCATGTTACAGGAATGTAATTTTCTCAGAATTTACACTCACTTGCAGTCATTTATTTAAAAAGATAAAACAAGATAATGGGTTCTTTGTATTGGCACTTTGCACCAGAAACATTTCATTATTTATTGATGTGATTACTTATTTGTTATTCACCTTGTACTAGTAAGTTTTAGTACTGAAATCCTTCTTCATTGTTGTTTGTATTTATGAGATTCTGAAATTCTGGGGAATCAGCGTAATGATTAAGTTATTCATCACCAGGCTGTAAGCAATATCTTGAGTTTGTAGCTTAGAATTGGGAGGACACTGAACATCTGGAAGACAAGTTCATTTCATCTTGAGATCATGGTGAAATATTTTGGATATATAAATTCCTTAAGCTATTGTAACCATGTTTTATTGCAAAGATGTAAAATATGCCAGATGTGTGTGAGTTGGAAATTAAAAAAAGAAAAATAAAATATGCAAAGAATTCACTGATTGTTTTACATCTCATTGAGCACTTCACTTACAGGCATCCATTATGTCGTCATACAAGTTTAAGAAATGAACGTCACCCCACATAAAAGCCTACAGCATCTAAAACTGTGTCCTAATGAGGTTCTGTCATTTGCTGAAACAAGCCGCTCCGCTTGGCCACCTGGCAGGGATTTGGGGCAGCACTGACCAGAGGGAAAATGCCCTTGTTGTTTCTTTTGCATAATCCACTTTAGGGGTTATTTTTAGTATGTTTATAAAGAAACTAAGTGCAGGTGATAGAGAAAAGTGTGATTGCTCATTTCGTGAATGTTATCAAATAATGATACTTTCATTTGAACCACACATTCTAGAATTTTTCATCGACCAGGCATGACGCAGGCAGGGACTGAGACCTGGAGGAGCAGGGCAGCTGCTCACCAAAGCAGGATGGGCTTCAGGAACAGGGCTAAGGGGGCTCCAGTCATTCAAACCTATGTGGACAATGGGGCGGCAACCCAGACAGGCCCGGGAGGGACAGAACTGCAAGTAAGCCACCGACTGCGTTCTCAAGACAAAAAGGACAGAACCGACAGCAGCCCAAGAGAGCCTTGCTACTTGTGCTCTCTATCCTATCCCATCAGTCATCATAAGCCCAGCTGGCTCCCTCAGCAACTCTTCTTACAGCCCATCAGTCACTCAGTCAGGCTGGTTACTACCTAAAGGTCTCTTTAAACCAACTCTCACCCCACTCTGCTTCCAGAACCATCACCTGGACTGTCACCAAAGCCTCAACCAGTATCTGAGCCTCACGTCAGACCCCTCCCTCCATACACCGCCCTACTGGCAGAGGGTCTGGCTGTACTCCTGCCTGAGTACCCTGCAGTGGCTCCCCCAGATTATTAAACTCAGATGGGTGAAAAAATCGCCTGGGAGCTTACTTTTAAGAACATGGTCTAGGGCCACACACACACACCCAAGGTGACTCAGGTCGGTCGTCCTTGGGCACATTTTCAAGAGCAGTAATGTGAGGGCTGAAGTCCAAAGTCAGTAGACACAGAAGTACTTTAGGAGAGAAACATCTGGTGTGTCCCTCCCCATGATGCCCTGCACCTCAGGCAAACCCGCCGAGTTACAAGGCCCTGAGAACTCCCCTGGTCTTGGTCCCTAGTGCCCTCCCAGAAATGTCACTTCTCTTTGCCTGTGCTATCCGGCTGTCTGGTTGAACTTGTTGCAAACGGACCTAAACTAATCTGGTCATGCACAATCTTTTTAGCAGGTGAAGGTAGCCCCCAATCCCCACACCCTCACCTTGTCATGATGAAAACAATTTTCAGGACCAATTTCTGCCACATGTAAGACACTTTTTCATGAAACATTGTAGCAAACAAGCACAAGACCCCCTTCTATGAGCTCGGGGGAGTCCAGTGCCCTTTTTAGATGACCTGACGACCATTTTACATGGAAGGTACACTGAAAGCAAACACACTGGTATTCTAGAAGCAGGACCCCATTAGTCTTGCTATGCCATCAGCAACCAGAGTACCCCAAGCCAGTCATTTAGGTACCAAGCCTTGGGCGCCACCCTGAGAATATGGGCTAAAGGCCACTGTAGAGTCCTGTACTCTGGTTACAGAGAGGTAGGAAAGGGTTCTGACACACTAGCCAGTGTACACCGGATTCACATATACTACCACTGATTTCATCAGTGAGAGACCATTTATATTACCCATTCTGCTAATGAAGAAGCAAGTAATTTCCCCCACTGCAAAGCCATTCTTAGCACTCACTATCCTAACTAATAAAGCCCCTGGTTTCCTTTGTTTTAAGGGAGCTGGAGCTCTGGTCCCTGGCTTTACCTTGAGACCCTCCTGATCACATGATCTGGCCTATGAACTCTGATCAAGGTAACTGACTGCCCCCTGAATGCAGTATACGTTAGTACATACTATCACATTGTCTATACTGGATATTTTATTTTTTTTTATTTTATTTTTTTAAAGATTTTTATTGGGGAATTAGGGGGATAGGAACAGTGCTGGGGAATTGGGGGAAGGGGAACAGACAAGTTGCTGTCGTTTTGTTCTTCAATCTAGTTGTGGAGGACGTTGCTTCACTGGCCCAAGTTGGCACCATCACTGCGCTCTTCCCGGGCGAGGCAGATCAGTCGCCGGCTTCTGGACGGCCGCTCACTGCGGCTGCTGGCCGCTCACGCTGGCTGCTGGCTACACTCGGTAGCCCATGGCAACCCACTGCCACAGGGGCTGCAGCCTACGCCGTCGCCGGCGACTCCCAGCAGCCCAGCTCCAGGTTGAGCTGTTGTTCAGCATCTTAGCTGTGGAGGGCAGTGTCACAGGCCCTCATATGTGGGATCCGAACCGGGGCCCTCTGGCATCCCAAGCGAGTTCTTAACCATCGCGCCACTCGGCCGGCCCTATACTGGATATTTTAAATAAATTACAACATCCTAACACTTCCACTCACTGTTACAGACTCAACTTGAGGGTTTCTTCCTGTGTGAGGCCTTCCCTGCCCACTAGGATGGCGTCCTCACGCCTGGTATGTCCGTCACCACACTGAGTAGTGTATTGTCAGCATACGTGCCTCTCCTCCCTGGTGACTGAGCTTGGGCAATGAGACTATTTTTTATCTTATGTCCTTAAGACAGTGCAGATTCAGAATAGATTGTCAAGAAATGTATATTTGCTGAATGTGTGAATAAACAGATGAGTACCAGACCCCTGGGTAAAGTGACAGAGTTGCCAGGGATGCTCAGAAGCCCACCAAGCTCCCTTTGCGCAACGCCCTGGCAGCCGGAGCCTCAGTGCCCCCTCCCAACACGGTCCAGTCACCACCACAGGTAGGGGCCTTTTCCATCCAGGTTCCAGGAGTCACAGATTATAGCAACCTCATAGCTGGAACAGAAGAGGCATTGAAACGACTGTTCTTTACCCGTATTCATCCATTGCAAGAAGAGGAAGTTGACACATGACTTGGGGGAGGAGCTTCTCCTGGGCTTCCAGTCAATTCAGTCTGCACAAGGGCAGGATCCAATCACTGGCGTGTCTGTCTGGAAAGAACTTGTAGGTTCCCTCATCGATTAAAAATGGGGATACTAATATCTACGGTGTCATTTGAAGATCAAAATTCATGGTGTAGGTCAGGCACCTCGTGGACCACCCAGCTGTCCGTGGAGTCCCGCAGCGGGTCGCTGCTTTCCACACCTCATGGACATGTTGCATGTTCATCTACTTGGCACCCCCTTTGCCTACTTATCTGCTGTGCATCTTTGGGGGGAAAAACTTTTCCTCCCTTTCCTGTCATGTAACTTACTGGGACCAGATCCCTGGACCTGCTGGGCTCAGGCCTGTGCAACCATGTCACCCCCATTCTGGTGACCTCAGTCATTGGTCAGGGGTATCCCCCAGAGCCCTTCCCTGAAATTTGCATATTCTGAAGTGAGGGATAGAAGTCCCCTCTTTCTCTGGTGTCACTAATCTGTCACTAAAGCCAGGGACTGCTAGCAGCCATGTTTTCCATTGTGCAAAGAAAGCCTGTCACACCAGTTGAGAATAAAGTCAGAAGAAACAAAACAACGTGTACCCTTGTCTGCCAGCCACCAGGTCTGGGGACCTAAATTGCCCTCATTCTTACAGGTGTCCCAATTCTGGGGCCCCACTTTCATCAATGGCCAATAAATACTTTTTTCCTCCTTCAGTGTCTCAAAGCTGTATTTTCGTTGTTTGAGATCAAATCAAAGCACCTTTAATAATATGGTTCCCTGTCCCCAGCCCCCTACCTCTGCTTTAAAAAATGTGACACAATCCAACTGTGGAAGTAAAATTAAGCATATTCCTAGCTAATGTATGACCCAGCGATCTATGTTTAGGTGAAAAGAAATGCCTGCTTCCATCCACCAAGAAGACAAAGAATGTTCTTAGCTAGTTTCCTCCTGATAACTGAACATACAATAGATGTTGCGTGAAACAAATCCAGACACAAAAGCATATGTACTCCATTTTGTATAAAGTACAAAAACTGCTGTAATTGATACATGCTGGTAGAAATCAGAATAGTGATTATTTTCAGCTGAAGACAGTGACAGGCAAGGACCATGAGAGGGGCCCCTGGGGCACTGAGTTCCACTCTGGGGGCCTGGTTGTCTCCCACAAGCTGGGTGTGTTACCCTGGTGGGTTCACTTTACAGATATTTATTGAGCTGTACAACGAAGATCTGTGTACTCTTCTGTGTGTATGTTACACTTCAATAAAAAGTGTACTTTAAAACATTTTACTATGCCCCTCCTCACACTGTCTCGTGCAACTAGTGCAAAAGTGTCTGCCCCAAGTGAGGCCTGTACTCAGGGCCTGTGACTACCACCCACGCCTGCCCCACCTCCTGGTGGTTTTTAGTCTGCCATCTTGGCCATCCTGTCCTGATGAGCGCTTGTTTTCTCTTCTAATGATAGTCCTGGCTCCAATGCCGCCGCCTCCTTCAGGAAGCCCCTCCCCTTCCCAGCCGGGGCGCTTCTCTCTGAGCATAGGTGGCTTGCATGCAGCTCTCTCCTCGCTCTCCTCTCCTGTGTTCTCACTGCTCACGGACACATGCCTCCCCCCACTCCATGACAACTCAACTGCCGGGAATTTTCCTTTCGGTGTCCTGGGCACCTAACACAAAACTGTATTGTCACTGTCGTTTATGTGTCTGTCTTCCTCATGGGACTGTGGACCTACATGCTAAGCCCTGAAAAATGTTAACCAATAAATAAGTAAACGCATGGGTCATGGGGGGAAAACACTGGAAACCTGAGACTTAGAGACCTGGCCCTGAGTCCTAGCTCCCCTGCCTACCATCTCTGTGACCCTGGGCAGGTTCCTGAGGCTCAGATTTTGAGGTGCACAACAGACAGAGCCCTTGGGCAGACGGCACATTTTGCAATCTTGGAGCGCTACATAACTGTGAGGTACTAGCACTGAGCAAGGACGCCTCAGGCTCCGGATCAAGGACTTTCATGACATGGCCGAGACTCAC